GGGGGGGGGGGGGGGGGGGTTCAGCGGAAAAAATAGAGACCAGAGGTGTTTCAAATGATCGTTGGGGCCTGCACCCACCAACATCAAACAAAGTTTCACGGAAAAAAAATCCGGCAAGGGTTAGAGACAGAGCTTGCAGAAGCGGTAGGGTCGGTTACAGCTTCACCAACGTACGAGTAACAACGTTACTTTTAGCCAGAAACATCCGACGACATATCTCTATCGAGCGTTGGGGCTTTGACTCCAAGGACTACATGTAGTGTGGTGTTGGTGCGACGCGAGAACCATTACCCACCGTGGTGGCCATTCTCGCTTTACGATTGGGAGGAACATCCAGCCTATCGCTAACGATTCTGGTACTCGAAGTTCTCGATTGATGGTTGTCTTCGGACCAATGGTACTTCTCGCATTCCAACGCGTGAGGATACGTCGACAGAGGCGTTGATCGCCACGTACAACAAGTACCGACATTTCCTCGACACGGGAAATAAGCGCCTTCTACCAATGTATGTGCGCGTAAAAGAGTGGCCTACTGCTGTCCTCGCGCAGCGGGGATTGGTACACAACACGCATGAACGACCGAGGCAAAAGTTGGCACGCAAGGGGCACGATCACAGCAAGTTTAGAAAGCGACAAAACAGCACTACCATCAACAATCAACAGCATCAACAGACTCAATGTCAGCAAAAAACAGCACAACCGAAAGCACCCACCAGCACAACACGACCTGTTGTTGTAACCCGATGCCACTTCAAGCATCCCTTTCAACCATAGCCCCTCGGGTCCTGTGGGAACAACGCTCCGTCCTCTCGAGGACGCATGGTCAACAGCAAAGGCATGCAAAGCCCCCCCTCCCCCCTCACCTTGTCCGCGTGCAAGATCTGTCGGTTTTGGTCACGCTGGTACAGCAGCACCCTCCGAACCCCCTCCTCCTCCCCCTCCCCCTCCTCGCTTCTGAGGAACGAGAGCGGGCAGTAGGCGTCTATCGCTCTCCGAAGCGACGCTGCGTCCTCGGGGCTGGGGAACCACTCCGACCGCTGAACCACCGACTCGCCCACCGTGTCCAGGTACTTTACGCAGACCGGCTCCCGCGCGCTTGTCTCCTCGCCCTGCTGCCCGCCGCTGGAGACGCCCGCCCGTCCCCCCCTGACAGCCCTCGTGACCGGCGGCGCCCCTCCCGTCTGCGCCGCCCCCGGCCGCTGCTGATCGTCCCCGCTCTCGGCAGGAGCAGCGGCAGCCGGCGGGTTGTACGCGGGAGACACCACGTCCGCCGTGACCGTCAGCCGTTCGGGGAGGGACAGGGCCGGGGACAGGACGAACTCGCTGCCTCTGCCTCTCGGGTCGAACTCTAGCAGACCAACTTGTCCCGGTCGCGGCTGCTGCTGCTGCTGCTGCTGCTCCCCATCCCCCAGCTCTCCCGCCGTCTGCAGCCGGCGCCGCCGCCTTCGAGCACCACCACCACCACCACCACCACCCGACTTCTCGCTTACACCCTCCTCCTCGCCGCCGCCTTCTTCTGCTCCCGCTGTCCGAGTGCTGCTGATGCGGGGTTGTTGCGCCGGTTGCTCGGGGTCGCCGCTGGTGTAGGAAAACGACGCCCGGTCCGCGTCGACGAAGCGCACGTTGTCGGCGCCCACGCTGGTCAAGCCGACCACGATCAGGAGGCGGCTCATGGGAGACAAGTGGGCCATCCAGGTCGGGTCTAGAACCTTTTCACCAAGAACATATGTGCGAGCGGCAACAAGAAAAAAACAGAAAGCTGGTGTTTGCATGCTCGAGAATGTTTGGTGCCCCCAAGGCCTATTGTACTAGTCTTCAGAGACAGGCTGAGCCATCCAGCTCGAGTACAAGACCATTAGGTAGCTGGGCGCAAGGACAAATAGAAAATAGATCAAAGTGGGGTTTGTATGATCGAAATGGTAGTGTGTCCTTAAGCCGCAGTTCGTCCAAGAAAACAGCAAGCCGCGAGGATGTCAACAAGCCGCGAGGATACCGCCAGGCGCAATGTAGGATATATCCATTCATGTTGAAGCTTTCGGGTCGTGTTGACCCATTGGGCTTTGAACGTTTGCTGGATCAGCGGAAGCCCGCATGTGCTGATGAAAACGAGCAGCAAGCGTGCTTCGCCAGAGGCAACAATGACACAAAACAAGAAACGAGAACAAAAAACCAACAAACACAAAAGACGATGACGGAAAAAACAAAATGCCGACACAGTAAGAGCAACGGCAACAGGGACAGCAAGGCAGCGACGACAGAGAGAAAGAACAGCAGTAACAGCAACGCAACGAGAAATGTCAACAGAACAACCAAACCTGACACTGACGTAATCCCACCTGCAGGTACACGGTGGATGCTCCGCTCATGCCAGCTATTGTCTCTTTCAAGTCCGCCCGCCGCCCCGTAAAGCACTCGGCAATGTGGAACCAATGACTAGCTGAGAAAAAAATTGAGCGAACAGGAAACGACGAACGGTCACATTTGCGTCAGGAGATTAGCATTTGATTGCGTGCGCATCGTGTGCGCTATGGTGCTACGTGCTCTGCACCTGCTAGCTTGCGACCCACAACGGGCTAGATTTTGATACGGTTCCCCGCGACAAAACAAGAGCTTCGTGTTTTCGCGAGAAAAAACAAGGTAGCGAGTTACATCTGAATCCAAGCGCCGGGACCACATCGAGCAAGCACTGCTGTGAACAAGCTGTGGCGTCTCATCAAAATGTCCTCATCTATAACATGCCATTCTATCAATACAGTGGGGCGCCCGGGATAGTGCGGGTTATATAGCGCGAGTGCTCGCTGTTGTGCAGGTGAAATCGCTTGGCACAAGTTGAACCCCTCTATAGTGCGGGTGCCGCACTATTCGGGGCACCCCTCGATAGTGCGGCTTCTGACGTCACCCCGCTCTGAGTGCGGCCAAACCCACACAAATTCTTGACACACACACACCTTACCCCTACCGCATCACAGCAGCAGCATATACGGGGGGTCTGCAGTACAGTACATGTGTGGGATGTGGGTTAATTTATCGCGGGTTTTCGCCATTTGTTTTTTCTTCGTGCGTCACCCCACCCAGCCCCACCCAAACATTGTTGCGTTGTGTAAGACGTTTTGTGAAAGAAGCTGAGAAGCAAGGTCCTTACTTTCGTCATCTTTGCATTTGGAATTTCCCCCTCCTTTGCTTTTCATATATGTGGGTGGGTATAGGGCGGGGAATTCTGAGTGGTTTTGAAAGTTGATTTTCAAAGGTGTTCCGTTGTGTGTGCGGAGGTGTTCCCTTTTCTACATGTAGCGCTTGGCTTCTAAATGCTATCCTCTCAATAATTTTATGTTATTCAAGGGGAATCGACGTAAAATGGATTGGAGCAACACGGGCTGAGACATACTTTGCACACAGCACGCTCTGCGCTATGTACATGTCATGGATCAAGTGTGTGCTGTACGATGAACGGACGTGGTTTCACCGCTGCGCTGTGCGTTCTACTCTCACCGACGAACGACCGAAGGCATGTACACCCTACTAGAAAGGGCACATCTTATTCTGTCCCCTCGCTTGTTGCGTACATATAGTACCCCATGCAGTACTTTGTCCTAGTGATTTCGCGAATAGTGCGGGAAGGCGCACTAGTCAGGGTTCTGAGGACCCGAATGGTGCGCCTTCCCACACTATTCAGGCCCGAAATCCTATATTGCGGGTGCCCACTATAGTGCGGGTGAAATCGCTTGGCAAATATCCGCACTCTAGAGGCACCCCGCTGCTGTACTCCGAACGAAAATACCGCGATCGAGCCGGGGGCGAGCAAAAAAATGCAAAGAGGCGTGTTTCAGTTGTGGACGTGACTGCTCGCCGGCTTCGGCCGGGCGTCGGGCGTGGGACCAAACCTCTTCACGAAAAGGGGCCAAGAGGGATGTACTGTGTGAGATGTGCGAGACACACGTGAGAGACAATCAGATCATGCAGCGCCGTGCGACTCTTCAAGAGGAGCTGCGGTCGGAGGGAGGGCGAATGAAACTGCCAAAAAACTGGGAGGATCAAAAGTTACCCTCAGATTTGCTAGTCATCGCACGGTCCGGAGATATCGCACATTACTCTAGTCCGGAATCATTGCACCCCCGTACTATAAAATTAATCATCCTAATTAATTCTATTCCCAGGGTAGTTGAATGCCAACGATTCTCGGGCAAATGTTACCCCTAACCAAGTTGATGCTGGCATGTTAATCCGTTTAGCAACACATCGCACCCCGACGCAAACAGCATGTGGAGGTACATATGAAAACAACGGTATATTGTCATCGGTATTCTCAATGGGTAATAAACCCTTGTTTTTGACTAGACAAGAGCAAGATAAAGAAAGCAGCAGCCACAGGCCAAGCCAACTACAAGTACCCTCTGACTCCTAGGGTGTCGCGAGTGAGCACAATTCGACGGCGGGAAAATTTCGTTTTCCCGCACCATTCCGGGATTTCGTATTTCGCCGCTTTTTTATTTGGTGCGTGTGTATATGTGTGTGTTTCTCAGATACATGTAGCGTCCACAGCGCTACTAATTCGATTTCCGCACAGGGAGGGTCCGGAGTAATCGCACGGCTCACCTCTGCTGTGCTATGACTCGCTATCCGGTAGCTGACAATATATGCGTACGTCCGGAGCGGGTCCGACGTCTTCCACAAAAAAAAAAAAAATCATCTCTCTGTGTTGGCGTTGTGGGCGCTGCAAAAAGGGACAACATCTCGTCTCCTGCTGCTAGTCACTGCTGTGGTAGGCTTTCTGTCTCCTGGTCAGCCATATCCATGGAGTACATGGAGAGGGAGCCTTTGGTGGAGGTGGCGGAGTATTGTTTGGATGAAAACGAATTTTTCGGTTTCAGAAGGGCGCGCGGCTGCTTAGGGTAAGCGTTAGAAAGATGGAGATCTCCAATTTGCCAATTTGCTTGCACCACAACCAAAATACAATGACGGAGCCAGGCGGTCACGACTACTCGCAGGAAAAACACCACATCCACCACTGAATGTCAGTACGTTGTTGCATTTCTTTTCCCTATTCATATTGAATACCGCAACAGCAACGAAGCCAGGGATGCATCACGCCTGCGTACATGACCCAAAATATCCATGCAGCAAGGGCAAGCAAAGTTTTCATACTTCACGTTTTGGTGACCCTTTTTACAGACACTACAGCACAAACACCAGAAACTCTTCTTTCCACAGCTGCATATCTACAAATCTCAAGCAAAGGACTTTTATCATTGCTTTGCGAATCGTATATCGTATCGGACACCATGACGCCTGTCGGCAGGTTGAAGCACGTCTCATCCCAACGAACCGCGGCAAGTGGCAGGCGGTGAACAAAAAAGCTGCTGCTTGACTTGCTTTCGCAGTCAATCTACAGGGATGCCGTTGCACGTGCCATGAACCTGTTTATAGGACCCACAGGTGCTACGTACGGCAAATCGGTCACTCAAAGGATTAAAGGTGACATTGATTGCTGCACTCATACCCTCAGCAGCGCGCTGCACCGCTCACGCTCACCCTTGGCGTGGCCCTCGTTGTGGTGCACCACGTAAAGCTGTGGCTCTCCCTCTCTCCAGTCGCAAGCGCTCGCACTGCTGCTGTAATTGACGGCTTTCCTCCGCTGCACCAGTGTGCCGTTCATCGACCTCATGCCATGGAGCAGCAAGACCCCGGCCAGCACAAGGATGCCGGCGATGTAGGCTTTCCGCCTGCCAAGGCGCCCAAGCGTTGCCCGCATAGGTGCTGTGTGATCCAAGCGAGTTGCACTGCAGCCGCTGACACTCCGTCTATATTGTCGCGGCGGCAAAACAGGCGGGCGCGTCGCGAGCTGAAGAACGGCCCCCGGACAACGTAGATCGTGACATAATTTTTGGGAGATCTCCGAAAATCATCCGCGGCGGACCATCTATGGACGTCACCCCCCACCTGTTTCTTGTCGTCCGTCCCCCTACGCTAAGCTCCGGTTATTTATTGTTGTCTTAGAGTCTTTGCCAACAAGGAAGCGCAGGGGAGAGAAAGAGAGCAGAGAGGGAGAGAGGGGGAGGAATAGAGACCAAGGTGGAGAGAGGGACTCCAGTAGAGACACGATATCCTCCACGACACCAGTCGTTGTCAAGGGAGGGCCATGCCAGCAGACGGTGAGAGAGCGAGGCACATCCCGAAAGTGCTGTGTGTTCGTGTATCTGCGCTCTTGCACACATCCGAGCACGGCGGTATTTCAGTACATATAGCAGTGGAAACCATTTCTCACCTGCTGTACTGAAAGCAGGTGCAGGGATTGCAGATATAATAAATACACGACATTCGGCTCGTTCGCGGTTGTTCCCAGAGACGCGCCTGCGGTAGAAAATGTGTAGCATGATATGATCATACGATCGCGTACTTTCCCCCGCGAGTCAGTTGTATTGTATTTATTGATTCGCAGTAGGTGCTGTTCTTGCTGTTGCGATGATGCACCCATCGTGTATTGTCCTAACCCCATTTATTGCCTGCGTTTCTCTCCTGATGAATTCGACGGGTCTGCGAGGTTTGAAGTTTGAAATCACAACAGCGTAGATTGATATCTGCAATGCGTTCGTCAATGCTCTTCCTATAACTGCAGCAGCTCGAGGTACTTCATGTAGACTACAAGTACCGCCGCAGCATGATGCTGCGGTCTGTAGCAACAGTTCCGCACCCAGCCACGGTCAGGACCCGAAATCAGCCGTAAGCAAGTTGTACAGCCCCGCCGCCCTTCCCTGGGCAATCAAACATGCTAGCTTCACAGGACCACACACACTAAGACCAATCCTTTCCCGTCGTATATATCATGCACCTCGACTCGGGAGCTCGGGAGCTCTAAATCAAAATCTCCGAATCTCCGAAATGCTTCCGTCGAATCCCGTTCGACTGCTGTGGATACTATATCTTGACGAGTAGTCTTTCTGTGTGTGATTTTTTTTCCTAATAAAGTCACACGCTCCCTTTCCTTTGTGTCCTGTATCCTATCGGGCATTGAAATGATGGTGGCAACGGCATCGCTGTCCAGACGCGGAGCTTCTCCGATCTCTCCGACGAGAGATTGGAGCTCCCACTCGACCCGCTGCTGCCAGCCGAGGCGCGGGTGCCAGCAACAGCACCGGCGGCGGAGGCGGTGGAACAAGCGGCGGCGGGGGCGGGGGATATGCAGTAGGCGGGGGAGGGAGCGGGGGCGGCGGCGCCTCCCGTAGGACGGGCGGCGGCGCGGGGGGTGTCCACAACCTATCTTCCATGGGTCTCTTGCGAGGTAATGCCGTTGTACAACTGCTTTAGGTCCGGTCCACTCCGATCTTTCTTATGTCCGTACATACAAAGTACCGTGCGCGTCGTTGTTGATGTGAAACACGGCGGTGTTGATGCGAGCCTTTCCTGCCTGCGGCGAACGGCAGCAGTAGTAACTCTTCGGACATGTGGTAGTCCAGACGACCACACTTCTCTCACATCGGGGTCGCGAGCACCAAACAATTTTTCTTGGGTGTGTGTTTTTTTTATGTGTGGGAATTTCCTTCACACAATTTGAGAGTGTACCCAACACAGCAGTAGGGGGTAGTGGACAGAAACACGGAGGGCTGTGAATGCACGGTACACCAAAAACAATGCCATAACAATAGCTATAACAACAATCTTGTCCAGTTTTTTTCTTTCGATTCGTGTATCCACATTTTTCTCCCCTTGCCGTGTGCCTGCAACAACACCTCACCCAGCCCCGCCGTCCAAACGCCTACTTAACTATTTTTTTGCAGACGCCGAGGAGGGTAGGGGTGGGGACCGCGATGCCGATAACAGCGGCGGCGGTTATGACGACGACTGGGAAGACCAGAACATGGACGGACAGGAGTATGGCTTCGTCATGTTTGACCCGGTTTGGGGGAAGCCGGACTACCCTCCCGGGCACCACACCACCAAGTGCCAGGTGTGTTTTGATGGTCTTGCCTCGTTTCGTTTGTGTGGCAGCTCAACGTGGGGGCTCCGTAGTTCAAGCGTGGTGGCCGTGGGTGTGGATCCATCCTTGAATGTTGGTCGACCTTGGAATGCGGTGGTGCTGAGTGCATCATCCTCTCGGGGTGTGTTCGCTTTAGTGCCTAGGACAAGTCAGGTGGAGTTGGATGTGATTTGACGTGGTACGCTTGTTGTCTCCCTTCGCTTCCGACCGGTGTCGTGGTTGTTGTTGTTGTTGTTGTTGTTGTTGTTACCCTCGTGACCCCCCTGACACCATGCCATCGGCACGCCACTTGCCTGTACACACACCTTCACTCCATTTTCCGCTCTGCTACGTTGCAGTTTTGCGGCGTGTTGTGCTGCCCGTGCCTCATGGGGAGAGACGGCTGGCGGGGTTCGCGAAACCGCAACGTTTGGAGAAGGATTCGCAAGCGCGCGGCTATCATTACGTCCGGTGTCGACATCGTAGCCTTCGTGCTGTCCATCATCATCAACGGGGGTTTCCAGGTAAGTTTTTTTTTTATCTCACCACGGGATGAGGTACACATCGGAGTCGGTAGCGCTGTGAATGCTTTCGAGATAGATACAGCACGGAGAGCCCGGGTACGTTGGTTAATCACCTACACCAAAGTTGCGTGGGCTGTGCGTCACCTACTTTCCTAGAGTAGACAACATTACCAGGGGAGAGACGGACAAGACCGCGTGGTTAGTGGGAACTCCGACTTTTTGAATACAAATGGGATGACAGCATTAACTTCCGGCTCTGCACGGCGAGTCGTGCAACCACCCATTCACTGGACCCCCACCGTTTTCTTGCCCCGTCTTGCATGATGGCGACCCCCCCCCCCCCCCCCCCCC